ATTAACAACAATTAAAGATTTTAACAACTATCAATTTTAAAATTAGATATGCAAATCAAGAACCAAGAAGAACGAGAAAATAAAGTAATAACCAGAGAAATCAAGAAGAAGAGTAAATTCAATATCGATCTAGAATGGCAGAATAGCTCTTTTACAATGAATTACTCATGATTTATACAATTTTTGTTTCGACCAACTTTCCCTCTCAATCAAACAGCCATAACCAACTCTTGCCATGTTAGCTAACTAACTCAACTCCCTCCCTAACGGCTACCATTCACATCCTCACGTGCTCTTTCTTTTCAACTCGATTCCATATTTTCATACATCCATTTGCTACCTTATTGATTGTTTCCAAGCTTCCCATTTTCTCGCCCTCTACATTATTTCATCACCGCCCTATTGATGTGTGGATTAATGGATCTCATCTGCTAGGACACAGTATCGTTGGTCCGTTGTTTTCGAATTCTCATTTTGTTGTTGCAAACATCTACCTTTATTAACATTTAACGGTGATGATATCACCATTTCTTCAAAAAAAATGCAAACTGCTACTATGAAAAGCATGAATGACAGAATGTTCTAATGCAAGGATCAGTTTAATTATAATGATCATACATATGTGCAAATCATACAAAAAGTAAATCAGTTCAATTATATTGAATATTGATCATACATATGCTCTAATGCAAGGATCGATTCGAAAAAAATAAAAAAATGCCGAAACAAACAAAGAACTAAAAGAAGAGAAAAGAAAATAGGAGTCGGACATAAACAAATCTTCACCCTCACCCCAACCTAAAACCAAATCACAACTTGATAACTAGACCAACATAAATAAAGGGTAGAATCACGAGACTCCAACAACTAGAAAGGAAAACAAATGCCAACAGAACACAATACACATTTCAAGACAAGGCTTCCAAGATAACACCATAGTGCGGAACAAAGCATATCGGTTATCATAGCTCACTAAGGAATCTAAAAAACAACTTAATCTATGCACAATACATTGTTGTTATCACATATTAGTAAAAAATAAATAAATAAAATAAAAGACACAAAGCTTGACGAAGGAAGATTGGAAGAGGATCGAAGCCTAGAGCTTAAAGGACTCGGAATTCTAGAACTCGAAAGAGGACTAGACTCACCGTCATTGGAGTGAAGAGTGAAGAACGAGGAGAAGAAGAGTGAGACTTTGAGAGTGCAAGATTTGTGAAAGGATGAGAGTGAGAGTCGTGACTCGTGACTTGTGAGACTATGAGACAATGTGTCGGTGAGAGGCCGAGAGTCCGAGACTTGAGTTGAGAGTGCGAGATACGAGAACGAGAGTGACCGAGTTTGCTCGTTGCTAGCTTCGTCGGAATGCTCGGGTGGCGGTGTTGGCTACTCGCGTGGCTTTATTTGTGTCGAAAGGAAAGGAAAGTTGAAAGAGGTAGCTAAGGGAGACGAGGAGAGGGAGTTACCGAGTTAGGGTTAGATCTTATTTAGTTATTCTTAGGTATTTAGAAATTATAATTAGGAATAATAAAAAAAAGGTTTTCGGTTCAAACCGTTTCTTTAAAACAAAAATTGAACCTAACCGAACCGAAATTATTTTGATTTTTTTTGTTCGATTATAATTATACATTTTTTAATTTATACCCAAACTAAATTCTATAATTTGATTCGGTTTAATTCGGTTTTCGGTTAACCGAACCATTTGCTCATCCCTAGTTAAAAATATGTTAAATGACAATTTGTTGAACACTTATATACTAACATGTACTAATTATTTTTATATTTTTTAATTATCAAAAAATTCATTGTAATGCAATGCATTATTACAAAATAATAATAATAATATAATGGACTCTTTAGTATTAAAGATAGATTGTAGACTCAATCTATTATATAATGACATATTGGAAATTTAACATGTTAAAATGAGAGGGGCATAAAAAGGTCGTGTGAAGGCAATGCATTATTACAAAATAATAATAATAATATAATGGACTCTTTAGTATTAAAGATAGATTGTAGACTCAATCTATTATATAATGACATATTGGAAATTTAACATGTTAAAATGAGAGGGGCATAAAAAGGTCGTGTGAAGGTCATGTGATATTTTTAAGTAATTTAATCGAAAAATTGACAAGAATAACATATTGAAAACTAACTTAAATAATATAGACATAACTAGCTCATTTTAAGATATATGAACAAATTGAAAACTCGACGTGTTATATAAAGATATGTCATACTATTAACCCTTAAATTTACTATAGTTAACACTATTCAAGGGATTAATTAATTAATTTTTGAAATAAAAGTGACTATTTAATTCGTTTTTCAAAACTAGAGTAACTAATTTTTAATTTACTGAATGTAGCATGAACCCTCTGATTTTTTAATTTAAGATCAATAAAAAAATTTGCTATTGTCGATCACTTATCGGCTCATGTAGTATTGCGCCTTGATATTTGCTTTTACTATATGTTAGCATAGAATTTGATAGTTGAATTTGAGGTACATCCAAAATATTTGTGGCTTGGGTTTTAAAGTATTTATTGAGTCGTTGGATTTTTTTTTAGATTCTAATACCATATTAAATTAGATAGTTAAGATTTGAATTCTATCCAAAAAAACTTCAACACTATAATATATGGTTTCATCTAATCTTTTATATTATTTAACATTATTGTAATTTTCAATGTGAAATAGTTTTTCTAACACTTTTTTTAAATAAAAGATTGAGAATATACCACCGGTCATGAGGTTTAAATTTTTTAATAGAATCCCGAATCAACTATCAAATTCTATATATAGCAAAGCTTGGCCCAATAGTACAATAAAAATCTTCGGACTCAAGTCAGCTTTAATAAATCTCAAAAAATGGATTGCAAGTAAAAAAAAAAAAGTATTAGAGAGCTTATCTCTCATGAATAAATACAAAAATATTTAAAAAAATATAAAAGATTGAGAATAGAGCATCCACTATAAAATTTCAGTTTTTTAGATAAAATTTGATCTCAAATATCAAATTTTAGATAATGTTAGAGTTTTAAAGAAATCATAGGGCTTTGTAAATGAAAGGAATTGTTTCTAAACATATTTCGTATTAAACATATTATAAAAATATAAAGTAATATAAAAAAAAATAGGAACACCAATCCCTGCAAGACTTAAATTTTTGTAGTGAAACCAAACTCAACTTCTAAAACTCAATAGACAGCATCCAGTATTTGTTCCCATACCGTGTTAGTGGGGTTTATGCAAAATGCTTTGAGCATAGGAACAATGCTCATGGTCTGAGGGCCACAGGATTTGAGCATCGTGGGTAAGTTTTTGCTATTTTATTCAACTCTTGTGGTTCTAATGATTATTGTCGACAATGTGTCGAAGCTTTGCATGTAAGGGCTAATTTATGATTTTTAAAAATAAAAAGACTAACTTATCAAACCATCAAAAACACAGGAGCTAAATTAATATATATATATATACATATATGTCCATGACTAAATAATTATAGATGGCAAAATAAATTACTGACAAGTTCTATGTAAAATTGCAAGCATTTTTAATGTTATTTCTAGCTAGACAATGATTTTGGAGTTTTATAACTTCACTAGTAATAAATTTATTTTTTTGGCATTTCATTTGTATTAAACACGTTAATTTCTCTTAAACATTTGAAAATAGTGTAATTTTAAAAGTTTTATTTTTTAGATGGTTGATATTTTATTTGTGTTTCACTATTTGAAGCTAATTTATCTTTAGATTTGAGTTGGAAAATTATATATCTTGAAATATTACTTTGAATTATTTCTTTTTATTATTATATATATAAGATCCTGAAACGAAACGTCAAAATGCTCAAATAATTAACAACTATGGTTTCAACTAGTCACCAATTCCTTATTCCATTGGTTATTCTTGTAAATTTAAGCACCACCCACGTATTAAACATTGATTACTAGTACTTCACTTTTTTTCCTTTTTTTCAAGATTATTTTTCTTTCTTCTTTTCTTTCTCAAAATCGCTTTCTTATTCTTTGGGAAATCATGTATGAGAAAAAAAAAACAAGATTAAGAAAATGCCGCCCCTTTGCTACTTCTATTTGATTTTCTTTGGAAAACTATGTTTGTTTAATAATGCTCATCATATATAATTATCTTACATAATTTACTTATCTAAAAAAAATATCAACAATTGGATAAACATCTCATACATTAAATAAATACATTTCTTTAATAATTCTAATAAATCTAATGATTGATATTTTTTTTAGCTAGTAAATTATATAAGACAATTATATATGATTAACATTACTCATATATATATCTTACCTTGTAGGAGAAAAAACTAAATTCCTTGATCTTCGAAAACTCTGAGGGGAGGCAGGGAAGATAGTAATGGACGAGTGGATAATAAATCATGAACAATGATTTCTGGATAAATGATTGGATACCCTTTTTTTAGGATTTTTTTTTTTTTTTTTCAGTAGGACAGAGAACTGGGGAACAAAATTGAGAAAGGAGTAGCGGTGGATTATCTGATGATCATTGTTCATAAACTCATAAACAAAAGATGAAAGTTCATCAAATAACAATGCAAGCCACATCTCTATTCTCCACCATCCTTGTGCTATTGTAATAGAAATAATTCCTTAATCAGGTCAGCACAAGACATGCAGCCATTTGATCTTTTGGTTTCGCGTGCATACATCCCCACAAAACCATACCTATAAGCTGATGTCCAATCAAACCAATGAATGCTACAATTTGCAGGTAGAAAGACAAACCAATGGATGAAAAAATAGGGAATGCACGTTCCATTCATTGTTTTAGCCACAAAAATTAGCAGGGAAAACAGATCCCAGGCCTTCAACCAGGTGCAGGCATAACATTGGTTGAACAGCGTGTATCCGCTTACATTAAAGAGGGATCTGATCATCAGGTTTAAGCATACAAAATACAGCAACCGCACCACCTAAAATGAGTCCCTTTCACAGTTTCTAGCTATGTGGCATAGCAGTATTTAAATTACTGTATCTTTGCATTACTCTCTTAGTTGCTTGAGCTGCAGCCTCACTTGCACGCAATGTACCAGTAGCCATGATTGCAGCAAATTCACGGCTGATCTCCTCCTGTACTTTGTTTCGTGCATTCCCGAGAGGGTCTCCGGCAATCGCATTGGTTGAAATCTTCTCTTCTGCTTCTGCAGATTTGACAGCAGGAGGCACTGAGTTCTCTAATGCCATAAGCTCCTTAGGTTTGGCATCCTCAGATTTGAATTTAATATCAGCCTCTTTAACGATTACTTTTGTGGAAGGGCTAGGACCAGCGACTGAGGATTTATTGACAGTAACTGTTGCAGTCTCTGAAGGCTGGGTCATTGAAGGAGGCCTGAATTGTGGAACCTGTGGGACAGCTCCTGCTTTCAATGTTGACTCCAAATTTTGTATCATGGGCACTACAACATGAAAATAGGCATCACATGTTAGAGTTATCTGCCACGAGCAATAAACTTGTATGCACATTGCCATCCACTAGCATGAGCCCTATCAGTTGACAATCTAATATAAATCCGCTATGACCCAAAATGATATTTTTAGACTTCATAACATTACTAAGTTCTCTAAAAGAAAACAATTTAAGGTGATTAGACCCCAAAAAGGGGATTTATTTTTTTCTAGTGAATAAGAAAAGGGTCAAAAAGCATTTAATCAACCTGCTAGATCATCAAAATTCAGGAAAAAAAAATCAGGAACAGATCATTAAAAATCATGAAAAGGCTTGAACAATGACAGCAGTCTTACAATATCAGTATTGCCATTTAACAAAGAAAACAAAATAAACGACTGGCAGAATCAAGAATAAAGTTAAACCAACTCACATATAAGAGCACCCATTGGACTGTTCATAACTTCATTGGGTAGCTGTAGAATGTATTCTGGAATGGTTACACCCACCAAAAACTGTGCAACCTCATTGCTGAAGTTGTTGCAGTTGTGAGTGAGTAAACTATAAGTCTCAGCAGTGTAGCGGGGGCTAATTTCCTGCAAATACTCTTCAAATACATCCTGGGGTACATGTGTGACTCCCAAATCTACCACTTTAATCGGTGTTCCATATGGAGTTGTTCCAGCAGGGGAATGTTGTATACCTCCTCCAAAATAGTATTCATTACCATACACCACGACTCCTGTGTGCCTGTGATGAAACACAAAACAATCAAGTCAGATACGAAACCACAAAACACTCAGGCTTGAAGGTCCATGACAACTCGTGCAAACATAAATGAAACAAAGTTTGAGATCGTTTTACATCCCTGCATAATATAGCAAATCCTACTTATGAGTTATTAAAGAACAATCCCATAAATTCCTTTCTATACAACAAAATAGCAGTTGAATGTCAGAACCCAAATAAGTTCATATTCACTTCATATCTCAAAAATACGTTAAAATAGTAAATACAGCTAAATTGGGCATGTTGCCAGCGTTTAAGAGCAGAAGATACCCAGTGATTGAACACAACATTTTCCACTTATCTATATTCAAAATAAAAGCCCATTTATAAATAAATAGAATAAGCCACCTGGACATTCCCTAGCCAGAGATGCATGCACATAATTCACTTCTAAACGGTTAAATTATTTCAAAAATAAATAAATAAATAAACCCCACCGAAGCAATTAGCCTTCAATTATTCACCTCAATGTTCGTATCGTAAGATGAGGCTAGCTCAAGTTTAAATTACAATACTCATATTCTAAATTAAATCAAGATAAGTACAAGATACAAGTTAATACGGTAAAGGAGGCTATTTGGGTATCCGAGATTTCAAAAGCAAATAAAAAGGCCATCATATCCTTTCTCATTTGAGAAACTTACCAAATACCATCAAGGGCCTTCCCCAAAAATGTTGTAGAGAGTTGGCGTGCCAATCCGTGGCTGAGATCATACACATTCAAAGTAACCTTGAAACCCTCCTGCCACCAGTTTATGAAAGTTGTGACTCAATAACCAAGGCAAAAAAGTCAATACTACCAGTCACATGCATCTCTAATACAGCACGCAATGAAGACAACGAACATGAAAAAACATAGAGGAACAGTTTGAAGATGCAAGATAAAAGGAATTCATACCTCAGCCATCTCTCACAATAATTCAGTGACTATGAAGTAGCAAAAAATCTATCAACCAATGAATTATGATCTGTTCAAGTGACAATACAAGAGAGCGCAGAATTAGCAATATCAGTTTACAAAAGAGACCTAATAAACAAAAAACACACCACAAACGCCTCGAATTTTAGAGTTTGCAAGGGAAAAAAAATAAGTTTCTTGAATTTCATTTCACCATAAAAACACAAAATGACCATTCAGAACAAATGCATACGCCAATTGCACTATAAGATAATACAGATCTACCTTCTTCTGCATAGAAAACCCAAAGTTGCCATTAAAATCTACTAAAATTTTTCTTTTAAGGAAAGAAATAGGTTTTAGCCTATTAAACAAGAAAACTAACCACAACCAAAATCAAATTTTTGATGAATTTATTTTAACTAATCAAACCTAAATTTTCACCTAAAAAGGGTGAATTGTCAACCTAAGAACCAAAAACAAACAAACAGAATAAACCTAATATCGTCTCAGCAACAAAATAAATCAAGATTTTGAAAGGTGACGAAGAACACAGAAAAGAAGAACGTAAATACCTAATTAACGATGCCGCTGCCGGAAAAATTCTCTCCGCCTGACCGACAATTGAAGGCAGAGCCGGAGAAGATGAGGGAAATTTATAGTCGCTGATATGGGATTTGGGGCCCGCGATTCCTTACAACGACCTGGGAAAGCGCGGACCAAAGTTAGAATTCCTACTCTATTCTTCTTTCTACATCTATCTATCACCTTCTAGAACTCTCTCACCCAATTGTTGCTCGACACGTGGTTTACATTTATGTATTTTTGGAATAACTACAAATCAATCCCTAACATATAATGTATTTCACAAGTCAGCCTAATCGTATGGAATTTTGTTTAAAATAGCCCTATCAAAATTATAACAAATAGGTCCTGCTTATGTTACCAATCATATTTAAGTAAGGTTAGATTTTTTACATGCGTTACGCTACGGGTTGAACAATATTTTAAAAATTATTTCATTTTGATATCTCATATTATATTGTACATATACCAAAATACATCAAATTTTGTTTAAAATAACTCTATCAAAATTATAACAAATAGGTCCTGCTTATATTATCAATCATGTTTAAATAACACTAGATTTTTTATATACGCTACATTACGGGTCGAATAAAATATATAAAATTATTTTATTTTAATATCTCGTATTATATTGTGAATGTACCAAAATCAATCCCTAACAACGACCTGGAAAAGCACTGACCAAAGTTAGAATTCCTACTCTATTCTTCTTTCTACATCTATCTATCACCTTCTAGAACTCTCTCACCCAATTGTTGCTCGACACATGGTTTACATTTATGTATTTTTGGAATAACTACAAATCAATCCCTAACATATAATGTATTTCACAAGTCGACCTAATCGTATGGAATTTTGTTTAAAATAGCCCTATCAAAATTATAACAAATAGGTCCTACTTATGTTACCAATCATATTTAAGTAAGGTTAGATTTTTTACATGCGTTACGCTACGGGTTGAATAAAATTTTAAAAATTATTTCATTTTGATATCTCATATTATATTGTACGTATACCAAAATACATCAAATTTTGTTTAAAATAGCCCTATCAAAATTGTAACAAATAGGTCCTCGCTTATGTTATCAATCATGATTAAGTAACACTAGATTTTTTATATACGCTACACTACGGGCCGAACAAAATATATAAAATTATTTCATTTTGATATCTCGTGTTATATTGTGAATGTACCAAAATACATCAAATTTTATATTTGACTAATTATTCTTTATATTTTTCATAAATTTTTTTAAAAAAATTATTTAATAGTATAAAGAATGTCAAAATTAATTGATTCTCGGCTAAAAATTTATTTTGTAATGTTTTTTAAATATTTTTTTGCCTTAAAAATTTTTTATAAAAAAAAATTAAAGAAAAAGGGACCAAAGCGATAAAAAAAAAAAGAGAGACTAAAACCAAACAAAAAATATTTTACAAATTGAAAAAATCATATTAAAAAAGAAGGACCAAAATTCCAAGTTAGAAAAACTTTTATTATAAATGTATTAAAAATGTTTGAAAACTATAAAAAGTGATTGTTGATGTAATTTAGTTTTTCCTCTTATTTAGTGGCAAAGTCAAATAGGGGTTGGACCCTTAAAAAAATTCCCTAAAATATATATGTATATAGTAATGATATCATTCCTAAAGAAGAAAAAAATTAAAAACAAAAAACAAAACCTTCATCCTATTTGTATCATGTAGTAATTAATATTTATTTATGAGTGGATGTTAAAAGGAATATTATGATAGTTGCAAGTTTGGAAATATGAAGCTCTTTAGACATGGGTAAAAGGCTTGAATATGTGAACATGTATTTAATTCCATAGCTTGCAATAAAAGATCTTGTTAGTAAATTTTCAAATTCAAAAAATGAGTACGAGCGTGTAGTTCTTGTCAACTAGGCAAACGAGTAAATAATTCTTTGAAGCATTTCATCAACAAGAGTTCTGCATGAATCTTTATATGTTAGGATGAAAAAAAGATCACATATGAATAAAATATGGATCTTACTTATATGTCATCGAATAAGGAGATTTGGAAAGTAGTTAAGGCATTAAACCTTTCTAGTGCTCTGGGTTAGGATGGTTTTATATGTCATTTTTTAAAATGAGGTTATTAAAATATATTTAATTATCAAAGACGAATATTATTCGGTTAAAATCGAAAAATCAAATCAAATCAAATTAAATTAGCAATTTTGGTTCAATTTTGTATAAAAAAATTAAAAAAAAAATTGAAATCAAAAACCAAAATTATTTTGATTCAGTTTGTGTTTTTTTAAAAAAATAAAATATCGATTTCCACTGAAAATCGGATATGCCAAACAAGCCCTTAGTCCCTTTACCGGTTACCCCTATCTTAATTTCGACATTCTGCCTACAACAACTCGTTACATATATTTTGTCAGATATGAGAAGGAGAGGATGTGACTTGTGGGGTCCACAGCTGTTGCACTGACATTGAATAAGCACGCCAGGAATCTGTCACATGGAAATTTAGATTGTTGACTTTCCGATGAATGTGCCAAAAAAGAAGAAGAAGAAACGACGGATGGTGAAGTGAGTATATTTTGTTCACTAACATAAAGAAATGCTTTGGAAATTGTTTGCTTCAGTTAATTATTATATTATCTAATTTTGTAATTTCAATAAAATAATTAGTTTTATTTTAACGTAAAATAATTAGTTAGTTGTTTATCATTTAAAAAAATATCAATATTAAGTCTAATTTTAATAAAATAATTAGTTAATCCTTTCATTTTAACAAAATCAATATTGAGTCTCCATATTTTCATATTTGTTTATAATTTAGTCTTTTTATTGAATTTTTGTGATAATTTGGTTTTTCTTTTCCATACAATAACTTTCATTTCTAATTAAATTTTCAATTTTAAATTTAAAAAAATGAAATGCAATCAATTTTGGTCAATAAATTAATTTATAAATTATAAATTATGTTTGGTGTACTAGTGATATTAGGTCTGTGAAGGGGTAAGAGTATGGGTTAGGTTGGGGAGATAGTCAACCAGTGGGTTTTTTGGTAATGCGGATATGGTTGTTATGGGCCCGAGATCCAAGGGAAAAAACTAGTTTTTAATCAAAAATCAAAATACCAAACTAGAAATTTCGATTTTTTAACCAAAAAATCGAACCTCAATTTGACTCATTTTAGTTTTTGTTTTAGTCAATTCGTTTAATCGAAAATAAAATAAAAACTAAAAATCAAACTTAAAAAACGGAATGATCACCCCTAGTAATTACTATTGTCTAAGATTTTTTTAAAGGTGGTCTTCTACCTAAAGGTATTTCATCAACCACTCGATTTTACTTTAAAAAATACCGAACCCTAATTCATTTGGTGATCTTCATCCTATTAGCCTTTCTAATTTTTGTTGTAAGATTACTTACAAGTACTTACTACTCAATCGGGCGAGATGCTTTCAAATATTGTTTCTTTATGGCGGACTAGTTTTCCGAAGAGGAGGAGTATCATAGAGAAGATTGCAATAACTCGAGAGTTGATTACGAGTTGAATAAAAGTTATATGGTGGGAATTTAATCTTCAAATTGGATATGTCTAAGGCTTAGATTGCGCGGAATGGCCCTTCTTGTTTCAAAATATAAAGGAAATCAGTTTTAATTAAATTTGGTATGACTTAGTGTATCGGTGTATTAATAATTTTTGGTACATTAGAGAATGCATCAAACAGAGCTTTTTCTCCTTTTTTTATTCATACTAGTCCAGCGGAGTCTTATCTTTTCAACTTCGGAAATCCTTACGGAATCGAGAAATCCCACCTTACGAGGTGGTGAGGGGTAATCTTCACATATCTTAATTATTTTATACAAATGGCATGTTGTTGTTTACCAATAGAGATAAACGAGCTTTTATTAAACCTTAGAGAATTAGGGAATAGATTGGGTGTTCTAGGTCTCGGTTTCTAGTAAAATATCTAAGTGTTCCTTTATTCATTGAAATAATTAAAAAGAACCACTTCAATTATTTAGAACAAAAACTAGCAAACATAATGGTGGGTCAAAGGCAAAACTTTTATCTTTTGGGACTACACTTACTATAATAAAATTAGTACTCATTAGTATTCGATCCATGCTTTATCCGTTATTTCTATCCATCACTATACTTTAGCTCATATGGAGAAAATTATGGTTGATTTTTTTTGTAGAGTTTAGGTGGGAAAACATAACATCATTAGGTCTATTGGGATAGGGTTTATCAACTACTAAAGGAAGGAGGTCCGGGATTCGGAGGGTTTAGACAATTACTTGGATGTCTTCCAAGCCATATTAGCTTGGTCGTATTTGTAAGGATCAAGTTTATAGGCTTCTTTCAAAAGAGATAAGTATGAGGACAACAACGATGATAAGAGAAAAATCTCCTCCCTTATCTAAAGATCAATTAGCAGACATATATAATATCTTTGAGAATATAATACTTGGATTGTGGGCCATGCCACAATTCCTTTATGGATAGCTAACTAGTGTGGTGCTATTCTTCGACCATCACTTTATTTGGATATTTCTCTTACTCGTCGAGGATGCTTTGGATCATATAAAGGAGTTCATACAACATATCTCATTTCATTTATATGACTAGATGAGATCTATTCAACTTTACTCTAATCTATTCAACGTTACTCTAACTTGAAAGATAGTGATTAAGTTTATAGGCTTCTTTCAAAAGAGATAAGTATGGGACCAATAATGATGATAGGAAGAAACTCTCCTCCCTTATCTAGAGGTTGATTAGCGGATATATAGAATATCTTTGAGAATATAATACTTTGATTGTAGCTTGTGGCATAATTTCTTTATGGACAACTAACTAATGTGGTGTTATGCTTCGACCACTACTCCATTTGGATATTTCTCATACAGTTAAGGATATTTTAGATCACATAGAGGCATTCATACAACATATCCCATTTCATTTGCATGACTAGGTAAGATCTATTCAACTTGACTCTATCTTAAAGGATTGGTTAATTTTTACACTAACGAAGTTTAACGATTTTATAAGTAACGCATATTAGGAATTTAAAAGAACTCACCACCCCTACTATTTCATAGCAATAAAAAAGTATGAGCTTCTTCTATACTTATTAAATTAAGTAATTTTATATGGAAGTGGATTTATTATGCTCTTATACTCAACTATAACATCTAGTCCCTTAAAATCCTAATAGCGTTTATATGTCACTACCATTAGGTTCATCAAAAGGAAACATATGGTCATCTATTTATCAATTCAAAGATAGATAATCAAATTTGGTCTCATTTCGATCAAATCTTTGATTAAAAACAAGATATGTTTCTTCGTCATATATCTTACAAATATAGATATACTTAACCACTACTTATATATATATGTGTCGAGTTACTTCTTATTTCTTTATATTATGAGAAATTTAGAAAAACATGTGCCATACAAGATAAAATGATGTTTGTATGAGTGTGATACCATGATTAGATGCATACAATCCTATTTATTAGATATATGCCCGATGAATTATCCGAAATACGAATGTTCATACCATGGTGTAAACGAGACTCATCCATCTTCAACTTTTGATCCATACGATACCTTTAATCGAGGGCCGATGGTTAAGATAGATGTCCCCTCTAAATAAAAATCTTAATCTAAAAATGGATAGATCAATAGAATATGGAATTTGTACTTGGATATGGTGTTGTTAAATCTAGCGAGTGGTGAGGTAATTGCTTGTTTTTTCAAATTTTATGGTGAGGGAACAAATATGCAAGGACGGAGTTTATGCTCTACGAGATAGATTTCTTTTATGCAAAGTTTTGAGACATAGGTCAATTTGAGTGGAATCGGATTCAAAAGTGGTGGTTAATGTCCTTCTCAAAAAGGTTACATGGCTTGAAAATATGTACACCAACTACAATAATGTTAGAGCTTAATGGATACACATATAATTTTTGATGTTTTTCGTTAGCGTAATCTATTAGCATATAGGTTAGCTAATTATGCATACATTCATGCGGATACTCGATAAATTTTCAATTACTATGACCTTCCTAAAGATATCAAAACTATTTGTAGGAATAATAAATGGGGTTTGTATACTTTTTTATTGCTAACTTTCATGTAGTAAGGATTAGGCTTCCTTATCCCCCTTTTGGGGTAAGGTTGGTTTATCTCCTCCTTATATATTTTTATTCTCTTTAATAAAATTGGGCATGGTGCTACCCCTGTTTGTTAAAAAAATCAACAAGAGTTCTCAACAAGTTTTAGATGTAAGAGTTATGCTTTTATTATTGTTGATGATTATACTAGATATAATTAAGTGTTGTTTCTACCAATAAGTTATTGGCTCAGTGATAAACGAATTGGTCTCTAAATGAATTTTCTACTAATATGTAGAGTTTGAATTCTAAAATCACACTTATTGGAAGGAGTTTAAACCTTATTGCTTCCTCTCCGTAAATGATTAATCTTATATCCAATGAGAGATTATGATACTTGGGAAAATAAAAATAAGTTTTGTTTCTTGCACATAATGATGAGATACTCAAAGCTTTCTTAAATTTTTGTAAATGTATTCAAAATAAAAATGTTTTATAATTTCAAAAATCCAAAGTTATCATGGAGGAGAATTTGGTAACTTTGCTTTTGAAAACTTTTGTCAATAAAATAGTCTAAATATAATTTTTCAATATATGGGACTCCTCAACAAAATAGTATTATGGAAAAAGAAAATTATCTTCTTCAAGAGATGGCTAGAACCATACTAAATGAATTTAACTTTCTAAATTATTTTTGGGCTAAAAAAGGCAACATTATATGTTTTTATTTCAAATCATGTTCTCATTAGAAACATATGTAAAACTCTATATAAGTTTTGAAAAAGACCAAATATTTTGCATTTAAGAGTTCTTAGATCAAGATGTTTTATCTTGAAAAAAAAACTTAACAAAATTGATGCCAAATTCAATAAAGATATATGTTTTGGTTACTATCTCACCGAGTAAAGCTTATTGTGCTTTTAATAAAAAAAACAATATTAGGTATAGAAGAGATTATATTTCATTAGACTAATGTACTTGATCAAAGTGAAAGCCAATAAACTTTTTAGACCTAAAGATAAATGATCCAATCATGCAAGAAATACTATTACAAGTTGAAACTATTAATGCATAAAATGAGAAGGAAACTTCAACACTCGCTACCAAAGAAATAGATAGTTCTAAGTGGTTTCTCAAAAACAATAATTTTATCTTACATATTTGAAAAGGTGCGAAATCGATCCTCTCTTTGTGTGTGTGGTAATCTAGCATTTTTATCCCAATTTGAACCTAAGGATTTCAAAGAGGTCCAAATACACAAAGAAACTACTTAAAAGATTTAGCTTAGATGATTCAAAGCCATATATTATACCAATGACAACATAACTTGACAAGGATGAAAGTGAAAAGAAAGTTGATATTAAGCTACTTAGAGGTATGATTGATACTTTATTTTATTTAACTACAATTAGACATGATATTATATTTAATGTTTGTTTATGTACTCGTTTTAAAATTTTCTTAAAAGATTCTCACTTAAAAATATCACATAATGCATTTTAAGTTATTTAAAACACTCAAATGACTTGGAACTTTGGTATCCTAAGACTAGTTCTTTTGAACTTATATGTTATTTTGATGCTCACTTTACCTATTTCATAATTGATAGAAAATATACAAGTCGTACTTGTCAATTCTTTAGACCTCTTGTTTCATGGTCTAGTTAGAAGAAAATTTTGATTGCCACTTCTACCACAAAAGTGAAATGTATTGTTGTTGGTTCATGTTGTTTGTAAGTGCTTTGGATGAAACAAATATTATTTGATTTTAATTTTTTTATTACATTTTCATCTTTTATGATGACACTAAAACTATTAATTCACTAAGACTATTATTTAGCATTCTCGTACAAAGCTTAAAAAAGTTAGACAATATTTCTTATATGCTCACACATAAAAAGTCAATATTATAATAGAGTATATGAACACGAGTAAACATCTTGCTGATTTCATTGCAAAACCATTGCCAAATGATCAATTTTACATGGAAGTTGGTAAGTTCTTTATATATTCAATTGGTATGAAGTGTATTTTTTTCCCTATCTATAAGTTTTATTCAAAATTAGTTTGTCATCATTCAAAAAAGTGAGAGATTGTTGGTCTAAAGGTTCAACTCTAATTTTGATGGACTAACAAACTAAATTTGATCCATTTGAGATTACTATCCTTGAAATTATTTAATATTGTACTTAGCATATGCTTAAGCTAGAAGTAATATTGAACTGCATTTGCTTTACATGAACATTTTAAGTGTGGAAGCACAATATTTTATAAGTATTAAATGAGATAATATACTCTTCAAGACAAGAAAAATATAATCTTCAAAGATTTCTTCCCAAGCACAAAGATTGAAGCTTTAGGTAATCAAGATTCTTTATTTTAATTTTTATACTCTATTATAAAAAGTCTAAATATGTCCAAAACCAACCATGGTGATCTCTTTTCATAATAGAAAAGATTTTAGGAAGATCATGTAAGTCGAACACATATACGAGGGTCATATGGACCTAATTAAGTATGAAAGCCTTGAGAAAAATCAAGTTTTGATTTAGAGAAAATCACCTAGGAATTGGCTAGACATAAAGATTTTTAGAGTGAGCCCACAATCAAAGCTAATGAAGGTCAAAATAAGGCTTTTGAAGTTTTACGCATAATCTTGTCTCTTTTGTAAGATTTTGTGCAATAGTTTTTTTATATATAGAGCAACGACTAATTTATTAAACCTCTTATAGATACTATTCATTCTTATATTATACAAGGACTATTTTCATACATGAAGTAACAACTAGTTTATTGAATTTTTTATGTATACCTTTCATTTTTATGCTTTTTAGACACAAGAAAAACACATAAAATAATAATAATAATAATAATAATAACACTATCATTACAATTTTCTTGAGAGCTTGATTAGTTGACATCATTTATATTGTGCTTAACTTTTATTGATTTGCTCTTTGGATGAATATAATCATTTGGATACCTATTTTTTCTTGAAATATATAATATTGAGGTGAGAGTAACACTAGATCAATACTCGGATCAATGGTAGCCTAAAGGTTGTAAAAGGTTTGTTTCTCGTCCTATGCGAGTAGAAACATATAATAGACCAAAACATTTTAAGTTGTGGTTACACATGGTCAAATTAGTATATAACATTGTGCTTGATCTCTCTATCTCTATATTTTTTATTTTATTTTATTATGTTGTACTTTTATATTACAAGTTTTCATATTTACATATTGTTGGTTGCCTTTAAGTTCTTATATTTCTCATAAGTTTTATTTTATTTTATCAAAGTCTATCCACCCCTATCTAGATCTAGCATTTAGTCCTATAGTGGGTTGAAGATGCAACTAGAAAGTAATAAGCAAGAGTGTCTTATTAAAGTTTATTCTAAAGTGTTTATTCTAAATGACATTATTGTAATTCTTATAATACCTATTATAAAACCTATATATATATATATATATATATATATATATATATATATATATATATATATATATATATATATATATATATATATTATTTTGGTTTGGTTATTAGAAAGATTATAATTTTTTGGTCCTTTTAGTTTACGTTAATTTCCAAGAAAAAAATCCAAAAATTCAAAAAATTGGCATTTTCAGTAATTTATTTGATTTTATGATTTTTATTTGATTTTTAAGTATGTTCATAGTTTTGAAGAAAAAAACGAGAGAAAAGAAAAGATGAAAAAAAAGATGAGAAAAAAGAAATGAATGAAAAGAAAGTAATAATAATAATAATAAATAAATAATTAATTAAGATGGCATCTTTATGGAATATTCTTATCTTTTCACTCTTAAACGGGATGAATTTCAATGTAACTCATAAGCATCGCATGCGTACTTGTGACGTATTTTTATTTCAAAACACCTACCTATCACACCATATGTTACCATCCTAGATCCTAAAAGACCCTATACGTACCTTCAATTTGTGACGTGTGTCACCATCCTAACTACTCACACCAAATAAACCATAATCCTCTACTATATAAACCTTTTTTTCTCTCATTCTTACACACTTATTTAAAGAACGAGTGTTGTTAAATTTACCATAAAATTTGCTATTCTCGCCAATTGTTTTTTTGAAAGTACCAATACACTCTCTCATTAATGTTTGTTACTATATCATATTGAATATATTGTATACTAAGTATCTAAAATATCTAAAATTTAAATGCACATAAAAGGAAAAATAAATAAATTAAAAAGCAAAAATGTCGATAGATATTTTAAATATTTGATATAAAACATATTTAACTAACCGAAATAACAAAGGATTAATCGCATCCAACGTCTCTTTACTTTTTTGATTTTCTTAATGTGACCTTTGTACCTTTTTTTATTCAACTCTTCTTCATACTTTTTTTTTAATGTGGCGTCTCTAACTATTTTTCAATCAATTTTCTAATTAGAACTAAAATCAAGCATAAAAACACCAAGTAGCATGATAGGTCTCAATTTGTTTTCCACATGGTTAATTAAAAAACAAAAACAAAACAAAAAAAAATCTTATTTTTGCAAAAAAAAAAAAAAAAAAAACTACCCTAAGTATAAAAAGAGTAACTTTTCTCTCTTGCCACGATCGATGAAAAATTCAAGAAAGCAAATCGTTTTTTTTCTCTCTTCCTTTCTTGATTTTATATAATGGTGAGTGTTGATGTGTCATACCATCATAAAAAATTTTTTTTTCTTACCGGACGTAATCACAGGATCGTAGCTAGGGCAAGTAGGGGTCGATCTCATAGAAAATCTGTTTCTATCGTTTGATTATTCCAAGGTACAAGAAAAGGGAAAAAAAGGAAGGGTTTTGTTGGTTGAGAGTAGTCAAGATAATCAAAAGTAAATAAAGAGATAACAAGAGTAATGCAAGCCTTAGTCAAAGGATAGTTTTCACTTTTTGTTCAATTATTGATCATTGATTCAAATTTTATTCTTATTATGAATATTCACCATAGAATAGCAACAAGCTTGTTATTCCTAATATTTTCTTAGTGATTTTTTAATCAATCAAAGCTATTTGATTAATCTCTAATTATTTAATAACCTAATAAAAGCTATCTAGATTCAATCTAATAAAAGCATTAAGTAATAGAAAAAATAGGTTAAACTAAACAACTCTCCTATAAGCTAGAAGAATTTAATCTAGTTCTATGCTTTTTAAGGAATTAAATAAAAATATATTTATAATCATTAATCTTTAGTTGCTACCTCAAGTAAGATTAGATAAGCAATTACAAATTTGAATTCTTAACTAGCAATAGATTATATAGATTAATCAATTAGCATGCACTCTAATCAATCACACAAGCATGTTTATATATTATAGAAAAATATAAAATACCCAAAAGAATAAGACTAGAAATAGAATTTGTTTAAATCTCAAACCAATTTAACCAAAGTTTCAACTTTTCCTTTAACCAAGATGAATATTTAGTGTTTCATAGTTTTGGTCATAAAAGCTTTTCTATCTATGGCTACGTAAATGTAAGAATGAATAAATTAAAACTCTAACTTCTCTATTTATAGCTAAAAATAGGGTTGCAACACACATATGGTAGCCGCATATAGACGCATGGCTTTCTTAACTAAGGCATATGGTTTGTGCTTTAGATTTACACAGAGTTAAAGCCTTAAACAACTAGTGGCACATGGCTTGCTTGACTAAGGCACATGATCGTGCTATATTTGCTCTTCATCTCGTGTCTATCGCCTATCTTGTTTGTGTGTTATTTCTTCCTTTCTTAAAGGATAACTTAAAGGATAACTTAGTTATGATACAAATGGGTGTGTCATTTTTTCTACCTAAACCATGCTGATTGTTATTTCTTATGTGTCTTTTATGTTGAACATCCACACGGTTTTCTTTTTTATTTCATATGGCTAGTAGCTTTTTCCTCTTCTAAGTCACACGACCGAGTGTCTCTTTTTGGTCCTCATTGACTTTGGGCTTTTATGTGCCTTGGCTTGAGTTTATTCGCTTTGATTTGTCATTTTTTCTACAAAATCTAAAATTGCTATCATGTTCTCAATTACCTTAATACAAGTACAATAAGTACTAGTAAGTTTAATGTAAAAGAGCATAAAAGTTAAGTAAATTATGTATTGATCAAATATCCCCACATTTAAACTTTGCTAATCCTTGAGTAAAATAAACAAAATAAAAATCTAGCTTACTTTCATATGAATCATGATTACATTTAGCATATGTAACAAGCCTATAAATCCCTAGGTTGCCCCTAATGGATGAGTTGAATCTCGTGAGGGTTTTAAGAAGATATACCTATAAAATTGTAAATAAATATCATGCTAGTATGATTATCCTTCAAACATGGATTCTTCATTCCGAGTCCAATAAATTTAAATAATCAAATCAATCATGTTTGAAATATTATTCTCATATTCATGCATGTCGCTAAATCGATTTATGTATCTTTATAACCAACATAATTTAAGCATGTAACACTTCTATCGCCCCTTCCCCTTTCCACCATTACAAGCAAAAGTAATAAATCAAGATTTTTTTTTACTTAATATGTTTTGTTACTTTAGCATTCTAATTTTTTTTTAAGGCCATCAACCATTCTTCCCTAAGTAATTACTCGTTTTTTTATGAGAATACTAACTTTTGTGATGAAAGCAACCGATTACTTAGGAAGTCATAAACTTAGAGTACTTTGCATACTCATAATTCAAATTATCGTTTTATGTAAAAGTAAATATTTATGATGAATACTCCTAGTTACTAAGCAACTCAAAATATTAGAGTAGATTTATATTTCATTTAATAAAGCCAAACTTCCTATTTGGAATGCTTTCTTTTTCTTTCTTTTCTCAAATTCCCATAATAGAAAGAAAATCTCGTTTACTTAAACTATGCTTAGGCCTAATTTTAAAAAAGTAATTTCAAAATAAGCATCACTTCATGAATCATGCTTAATCGAAAAGACATATAAAGTTTTCTA